GTTCAATTCAAAGATGTCTTAAAACGATGCCTTATCATGATAATAACCCTGCACCCCTGCGGATGGGGTGACTCGTCTAACCTGGCGGATACCTCTCCTGGAGTGAAGTCCTAGCAATGAGCACCCTCCCACACTGTTTTGGATCACCACGTAACCCTGAAGTAGAAATGTTGGTTCGGGGAGCTACCCATTCCTGCACATGTTCCGCCCATCGTGGGCAAGTTCCGCCTACTTAAAGCTTGCTTTCACCCCGCTTGAATCATCCCCCGCACGCCATAAACTACATACACTCCTATACAACAGGTGGGTCCCCGGATAACGTCGAAGTTCGCAATCGAAAAGATGACAAATCCAATCGATTACACTTATTTATTTACCTACTTATAAGGCGATTATTAATATCATCGTTTTCAGAAAAGAAAAGGAGCCCAGCTATCCTTCCGTTGTTGGGTGCCTGTTCCGCATTTTCCGATGGGAGTTCCTCACCGCTACAGCTCTCAAAACAATTAGCGACACCTTACAGTTTGCTAATCCATTTTTCTTACAGTATGTTAATTCTACAGTACTTACAGTATTTCCTTTGTTGCTTGTGAGAAATCAGCAATGTATAGTCGTGGTCCTTGCAAATGATAGGGCATGTGAAGGGCCTAGGTTGGACTGTAGCCAGAACGGCCCTTTCCGCTTACTCTCGCGGACTCAGGGTCGTGGGAAAGGCAGAAAAGACGGACTTGACTGCGCTCCAATCCACGCCCCTCACACCCCCACCCCCAGAGATCACGACTGTAGCTAGCCTGAAGTTCCTATTTTAGCCAGCTCATTGGACTAATTTCCGACAAGCATGCCCCACTTTGGAAGGGTATATCCTACGCCATTTTGATGTTCTGCGCTTCAGAGGTAATTTTTGGGAGTCAAGGTTCTCGAAAAATTCAAAACTTATTTATTCAGCTTCGTTCATTCGTCCTCAACAACTACTTCTTCATCATGTTCCGCCTAGGAGTCAAATGCCAAACAGTACTGACTGCTGCTGTCTACAGAAAGGTCAGTTATGCGCTCAGAAATTCGTCGCGCGATAGTTGGAGGGGCACGCGGCGCGACTATGTCGCGTCATACCTGCTCGTTGTGTCCTCCCTGTCCGTCTGTGCCCTCCCACCGAGACGTCCAAATTAATGGCTTCCTGCACACTTTGCATGGGGAATGGGGCGTATATGTAGACTTGTTCACTGCGTATGCTGGAGCATGTCAAAGGGGGAACTGGGTTCAGCTCAGCGCCATGTCGTTCCTCAACCATTGTTGAAACGGGCAAGAGACAACTATCGGTGGAAAACGAACTGGCGCTGCGCCGCACCCAGCCCCTTCATGCTCCAGACCGTACCCCATGAAGCATTATCTCGGAGCGGATTGATGAGCAGATATTACGTGACCCTGTACCCCCCAATTGCCTATATTTTTATTTTTCCAATGTTAATGGATGATTTCAGTCTCTACAACTGTCCAATTCGGCTCGGCGAGACAAAACAATCGGAGAAATTATAAACTTGATGGCTATTGACATCGAAAAGATTCAGTTCATCGCTCAATAGAAGAAAGGAGTTACATTAAGTACTGTAGACATACTGTAAGAAAAATGGATTAGCAAACTGTAAGGTATCGCTGATTGTTTTGAGAGCTGTAGCCGTGAGGAATTCCCATCGGAAAATGCGGAACAGGCACCCAACAACGGAAGGATAGCTGGGCTCCTTTTCTTTTCTGAAAACGATGAGATTAATTGGCGTCTTAAATATAAGTAGGTAAATAAATAAATTGTAATCAATTAGATCTGCCGATTGCGAACTTCGACGTTATCCGGGGACCCACCTATTGCATAGGAGTATAGAAGTTTATGGCGTGCGGGCTCGACTAAAGCTGGGGGAAAGCCGCCTTAAGTAGGCGGAACCTGCCCACGATGGGCAGAACGTGTGCAGGAATGGGTGGCTCTCGAAGAACAGTTCTACTTCAGCCACCCAAAACCTGGTGTGGGATGCTGCTCATTGCCAGGACTTTACCTCAAGAAAGGTTTCCGCCAGGTCAGCCAAGTCACCCCATCCCTCACGGTTGAGCAGGTTATTACCATAATAAGGTATCGTTCTTAGACATCCGTTGAAATGCAACCCACCCGTGAGACTCCTTGTATAGCTTCTTTCTAAGGCGGTAATCTGAAATAAAGACGTTCTACATCATTTGTCCATCAGAAGAGAAAAGGAACTAGACGAAACCTTCCATTCTACGGCTCCAGTGCTTTTCCCATTGGTTGCTTAGGTATTCTGCTTTACTACCTTCGTTCAGTTCAAAAAGATTTTGAGGCTAAAAACGGGTTTTTGAGCAAAAATCGGACCCATCTGTGAGCGGAAAATGTGAGTTGAAACTCACTTCCAGCGTTTTACGGGCGCCTTTCCAGGGGACCGGATTAAACCACCATAAAGTAAGGCGGCTGAGGAATGAGCTGTTGAGTTCAATGGAGCCTTGCTGAACGAGATTCAGTTCTTGATGGGGCAGAATCACAACTTATGGCCTGCTGCATTTCCCAAAAACCTACCTTCAGCGACGGTGAGCGTGGATCAGCAAAGCACATAAGGAATACATAAATAATAAGAGATATGTAATATATAAGAGAGGCAATACACAGCGGAGACGACATGTATGAAGGATCCTGTAATGACCCTACCCATTTTGCCGAATTCTTATATTTGTTGATAGACCGGAGGTGTTGTAGTGGCAAGCAACCAGCTTGCCATGCGAGCAGTCTGGGGATCGAATCCCGGAAGCTTTTCCCAGGCTAACCATGAGGGCGAACTTACATTAATCCCTTGTCTGAGGTTCTGGTAGAACTGTGGCCCACCACAAACGGCAAAGAAAATAGCTGATACATGGAGAATTCCTGAAGAAACCATTCCTGATTTTTTTCGAACGTAATGAGTATATGTTACACATCCCTGAAAAACATCTATGAGATGATCAAATCCAAAATAGGGTGCGAAATTTCAAGGCACTTACAAAAGTAGCGCTTAGTAGGATAGGATATAGGATATCTGCAGCTGAAGAAGATGATCCATTTAAGATCGTATAAAAGAATATAAAAAGGGATATGATCACTATGAGAGCTGTGAATCCCTGTAAATGTAACAATAGCTAGAATTGTTCATTGAAAAGTCTGAATTGTTATGTTTTTTTGGGTTTTTCTTGTATGAACGATTTTCTAAAGATATTTCAGATATTTTTTTGAGGTGATTAATGCCGCCATACGCGCTAATTACCACAAGAATGCTGACTCATAGGCAATATTAGACAGATCTCGGGACTCGATCCCCACCATCCTACTAATATAATCGGCGA